GACCGGGTTTTCAGGACCCCCCCCTCTCCAGGCCAGGGCGTCAGCGCTGCTTACAGGAGCTTTCCACGGTTTTACCAGTTCTAGGATCCTTAGGGCAAGGGAACAGCAATAGAAAGAAGGACCCAGGGACACATAGGAGTCATGTGTGTCTCGGGGCCAGGACTTCCTCCGTGAGGAGCGGGTGAAGTCATTTTCCAGCGAGTGGCTCCCCAGCCCTAAAGCATTTGCTCCCGTAAGTGCCCATAGCACCTGTGGGTTCCCGTGTCTGTACCTGTCTCTGTGTTAGGGTCGTGTCGTTGTTACAGAGGCTCGTTCTGGCCTTAACCACAGCTGCTCTTTGGCTGAAAGCCAGTTACAGGATCAAAGCCTGCCTTAAAGGTGCAGACACACTGAGAAATTCACCAGACGCGTATTTCATTTGCTTTCTTTTTCTGCCAGAGAATGTTAAACCAGGATCACTTCAGAAGATTTGGAAGCCAAATCTCTATAGCTCTATAGCACTTTATCAAAATTGTCCAAATATTTGCCAAGCACCAATTTTAGCTTTATTTGGCCTCGTTTTTTAAAAGTAATTTTTTGGCAACTTCCACTGGTATGGTTATTGTTACAAAATTATATCGTTTCTGGGTTATGTTTGATGTCAAAACAATGTATGTCCTTACAAAAATGAATTTACAACTAGTAGCAATTTACCTAAAGCTCTTTAAAACAGAGAAAAGATTTTCAACAAATTTTAAGATATTTAAGATGTATGTATATTTATATATAATATATATATTCCACACACACAATTGTGTAATTTAGTATTCTTAATCTACTAATCTGCTCTAATTCCCCTTGAAGTTTAAAGTATTCTTCTCAAACTTAAAAATGAAGCATCTTTGCTGAGCCATTAAGTATGAACTCTGTGACTACATTTCTCTAGGAATATGTATGGGGGAGAGACAGGAGCCAGTAGGGTTTAGATGAATATGGACAATAGTAGATTATAGATAAGTGTCGCTTGAGGTTGTTATGAGGATTCCACAACATAAATTTACGAAGTTTAGGAAAATGTATGGTGTTTAAAGCGTACAGTTACTATATTGTTCACTAGCAGATAATCTGCAGAAAATGTTTGACTATGGTGTTAATAAGCCATTAAGATCAGTACTGAACTTCACTCCTGCTTGTGGATTTAACCATCATCAGTCAGTTCCTTGAATTTTTGTCAGAAATAGAAGCTGAATATTCTGACATGCCTTACTACACAACAATTTGATGGCTTAGCAATGGTAAAGTTTTCTTGTAATTTTTTTAGTTCAGGGCTGATATTGAAATTTTTCTGAATGAGAAGAATCATTTTCAACTATTATTGAACAATGAATGGCTTTGGAAATTAGCTTTTGCTGCAGACTTCATAATGTTTTTAGTGAATTCACTCCAAAATCACAAGGCAAATAAATCATCACTTATATGCAAACTTTGTATTGCAGTAAAGTCACTTGGACAACTAATGTTTGACATGTACTTTGTCAAGCTGCCTAATACACTGAACTGTCAAAAGTTGCACCACAGGTGAGATCTCCATTTGTACACAAATTTACCACAGATGTGATTTCCAAACACAAATTATAGTTCTAGCAGGGATCTTGCATGTTGATGTGAATACAAAGGAAATTTCCATATTTCAGAATCCATTTACCTGTGCACTTAAGCAGTTTACACCAAGCCTTCAAAATGAAATATGTAAGATGTTATTACAGAATTAGCCTTAACAGATGAATATTTATAATTTTGATGAAAGGAACCTCAACCTGGCACGTATGATCCCTCCCAAGTCCATTCTTTTTTTTTTTTTTAATAAATTTTATTGATTTTCCACAGAGAGTAAGGGAGAGAGACAGAGAGTCAGAAACATCGATGAGAGAGAAACACCGATCAGCTGCCTCCTGCACATCTCCTACTGGGGATGTGCCCGCAACCCAGGTACATGCCCCTGGCCGGAATCAAACCCGGGACCCTTCAGTCCGCAAGCTGACGCTCCATCCACTGAGCCAAACCGGTCTCGGCCCAAGTCCATTCTTATTAGTAGACCTGTATTACAGAAACATTGTAGCCAATTACTCTATTTAATATCATCAATAAACAATTTGTGGAAATTTGTTTTCTCTCTTGTTATATAAGTACCTACTTAACATCCTCAATTTGATGTCTTGACCCTCTGAGTCTAAAATATAAAATACTTAACTATCTGGTCCTTCACAGAAAAAGTTTGCTGACCCTGCCCTAGAGTTGACTTTGTTGGGTGGGGAGCAGGTCCTGGCAGCAGTGAGGCCAGGAAAGCATGTTCCAGAAGCAGCAGGAGCTGGATTCTCAGATTCCAGCATCAGCGGCTCGGCCCCTGTTGCCTCCACGTACACAGTGTTGCTGCCGGCACCTCTGATGCCTTCCTGCTGATTCCGTGTGTTCCCGTTCTCCCCGCACCCTCCCCAGAGAGGGACACACAGGATGAATCTCTTCAGTGAGACGGTTGGAATGGGATTTGAAGTTTAGATGGGAGTCAAGATGGTGGCTGAGCACTTGATTTAAGTGCTATAATGTACTGACTTACTGTTAATCCCTTCTGTGTCATCACTGTTGGTTTAGGGGGGCAAGTGATTACTTTTAGATTTCAAGTAGCCTGAATTTTGCTGTTTATTTAGAATTTCAGAAAATAAAGATACTCCAATAATGTTGAACATATTACTTGGTTTTTTAAAAAGCTGGATTTGATTTTATAAGTTTTGAGAGAAAAGTATTAATAGTTTTGTAAAACAATTTAGCACGATGATACGTTATGATGCTATCTATATAAAAATACTGGGAGGAAATTTACCAAAAGGCTAGTATTATTAGTGGTGGGATGAAGGGTGATTTTGCCCTTTAAGTGGGCATGTTACTTCCATAATAATCCTTTACATGTACAAGTGAACCACTATTGGGATAGTTAATGTGATGTTTTTGGGAAGGAGTGAAAGCTGGTTTTGCTTTAAAGCCAGCCCCCAATGAGGCAAGCATGAAGGCACTGCTCCTCAGCCAAGTGAAGCCATGACCAGCCGCTGTGTCCTCCAGGCTCTGTGGAGCCCTCTGCTGGCCAGAGCCGTGGCTTTCCCTGGCAGATCTACCTCCTCGGCCTGAGTGGTTTCCGACTCCTCATGGCCACAGTAGGCCTCTCAATTTGAAGCTATAGTCATTTCCCCTGAGTGCGCGGCTGTGTTCCCGGGAGATGGAAGTGAAGAATTTAGTCCTATGGCCCTGTGCTCTCCCCAGATCTTGGAAGATGGAGGGGGTGGGGGGTGAGTCTTCCCTCCTTGGTTAGACCCCTGGACCTCGTGAGTTTCCTGAGAGCTGGTTGAACTGAACAGTGAGTCTCAGCCTATTTAGTTTCTTCAATCCTGTGCGTTCACACCTTTAAAATGGAAAGATGGGTCGGAGCTCAACAGGACAGTGTGCATTTCCACCGATCATTTCTGTTTCACTTCAATCCATGAAAATACAAGAGCAATTTCCACGTGGTTTTCTCCTTGCCTTGTAGGCACTGCATTGCCCATTGGCACAAGGTGGAGAGGGTGGGGGAAGGGAGATTTTGGTTCCTAGGTGGTGGATGGTAAGTTCCATTCGTGATGTAAGCAGAAGGCTAGATGTTTCCTTCATCTCATCAGAGTTGATTGAAAGTGGGCTCTATGCTGCCTAGATGGTCCTTGGGGCCTCCCCTCCTGAGGGGCTGGTAGCAGGACCGCCTGCTGTCTGCTGGGGCCCAGGCTTCCTGCGCTGCCCACAGGGAGGAGGCCTGGCTTCAGGGTCAGTGCCCTGCCGCGGGCGGCAGCATGAAACTGCCACTGGTGTTCTGTGGACTTGGCCCTTTCTGAGACACTTTTATTTCTTGTTATAGTCATCCAGCAAATGTCCCATGTCCTCCAGCTCCAGGTGCTGCTCTAAGCCTGGACTGTTGCTTCAGGTCAGGTGTGGCTCCTTCCACACTCGCTTCTGCCCCTTCTAGAAGCATCTTCCTCCCTGTCATCCAGTGCTCTCTATGGAGTATTTGTAGCTGCTTTGTTCGGGCCTGAGGGAATGAGTACAGGCTGCACCACCTGCCTTGGGGGAGGGGTGGCAAGTCTAGGAAAGCCTCCACCTGGCCCCGCAGAGTGGACAGATGGCTGGACGGATGCTTTGTAAGGGGGAGGGGGACCTGGGGCCCTTCACCGGGTGGCGCATGGGCCAGGGGCTTTGGGGATGTCTTGGCTGTTACCTGCAGAGCGAAGGAGAGAGGTGAAGGTTGGGAGGAAGCCAGAAGGCCAGACAGGACAGGGGCCCCAGGGGCCCAGGACAGTCAGGATGTAAATACCCAGCTGCTGCAGGTACACGTTTGGGAGATGAGCGGTCGGCCACAGGCAAGGCTGAGAGGGAGGTTTTCTTCAGATGCTGCTAACGCGAACTCCTGCCCGAACACTCCCCTGGGCGGTGCTGGGAAATGCCTCTGGGACGAGGTAGGTAGACAGGACAGTAGGACTGAGTCAGTAATTGAGAGGATGCCTTGTGACCTGGGCTCTCAGCTCCCAACAGCAGCCTCCCTGGCCATCAGCCTGGAGCCCCAGGCTGCTCCTGGGACGGGGAGGCCTCCAGCAATTGGCAGGCACATCTGGGCAGCAGAGAACCCCACAGGGAGTCTGCGGGAGGCTCCTCACCTCTGGTTTGCAGCCTTTGATGGGAAACCAGGGAGCCTTCACTGGTAATGATGGCAGACAGCTGACTGCCGAGGGCCCTGAGGTCCCTGGTGCCCACCCTTCAGGCTGGCTTAGGACCTGGGCATCGGGAGAGATCCACAGGCCGAGGTCCCGCCTTTGCTCTGGGCTCTTCCGGTGTCCCCATGACACTAGCACCCAGAGCAGGGCCCTCGGGGGACATGTGGCCAGCTTCTTGCTGGGCGACCAGAGGCTTCATTCTCCGCCCCGGCCCACCCCATGGGGCTGTCCCTGCAGGTACCTGAAGGAGTTCCGCACGGAGCAGTGCCCGCTCTTTGTGCAACACAAATGCACGCAGCATCGGCCCTACACCTGCTTCCACTGGCACTTCGTGAACCAGCGCCGCCGCCGGTCCATCCGCCGTCGGGACGGCACGTTCAACTATAGCCCCGACGTCTACTGCACCAAGTACGACGAGGCCACGGGCCTCTGCCCGGAGGGCGACGAGTGAGTGTCTCGACCTGCCCTCAGAAGTGCCCCCCCGCCTCCAGAGGTCCTAGGCCAGGCAGAGTCTGAGCAGCCAGCTGCTTTGGGGGGCACTGTTGCAGCCTGGCCCAGCTTCCTGTGGCCTGGACCTGGGGGAGGCCCCTCTCCTTTTCCCACTTGCGGGAAACCCTACATGGGCCTTTCTCCTGCTAAGCCCAAGGGCCACATCAGAACCGAGGTGGCTCTCACCATCAGTGCTCGGCCGCTCAGAGCCCAGCACATCCTGAGATGGATACATGGACAGACCACCTTCATTCAGCTGCAGGGGCCACAGCTGAGCGACCCCCCCCTTTTCCATGTTTCAGATGCCCGTTCCTGCACCGGACCACAGGGGACACTGAGCGCAGGTACCACCTGCGTTACTACAAAACTGGAATCTGCATCCACGAGACGGACTCCAAAGGCAACTGCACCAAAAACGGCCTGCACTGCGCTTTCGCCCACGGGCCCCATGACCTCCGCTCCCCCGTCTACGACATCAGGTGGGCTGGACGCCACGCTGGGGTGATGGCTGTGGGCTGGGGTGGGGGCCTGGCTGCTGGCACGGTGAGTACCACAGGTGGATCGCAGGACTGGCACTCCGGTGCCTCCCCCTCATGCCCTCCCCCTCTTCTCCCCTCCCAGGGAGCTCCAGGCCATGGAGGCCTTGCAGAATGGCCAGGCCCCCGTGGAGGGCAGCATCGAGGGTCAGTCCGCTGGGGCTGCAAGCCACGCCATGATAGAGAAGATCCTCAGTGAAGAGCCGCGGTGGCAAGGTAACGGCCACAGACACCAGGCCTGTCCGCACCCTGCTCCTGCCCAAAGGATCGGCTCACCACCACCGCCGCAGGGAGGGCGTACCCCTCACCCCCTTACATCCAGCCAACAGCCCCAGGGGCACTTCTGGGGAGTTTCCCATCATCCCAGGTGCACCCCACATTTCTCTGGGGCTTTCACACATGCGTACTTGTGCACGTGTATAAGTACATGTGTTCTTGAACCGCCCACGGGTGCCCTATTACCCTGTGAGCGTTATGTCCAGTGAGGACAGCATCCTCCTGACGTCTGGCCTGGCTTATCTCAGTCTCCACTTTGGCCCTTGAAAAGGCAGCCCTGCTCCTACCTCTCTCAGGAGCCTCAGCTCCTAGACCCTTCCAGTGGCTTCTCCTTTCCCTTTCCCTTCCCCCGCCCCCCGCCTGACCCCCGCCTCTGGCCCGTGCAGAGACCGCGTACGTGCTGGGGAACTATAAGACGGAGCCGTGCAAGAAGCCGCCGCGGCTGTGCCGCCAGGGTTATGCCTGCCCCTACTACCACAACAGCAAGGACCGGCGGCGGAGCCCCCGGAAGCACAAATACAGGTCCTTTCCCAGGCAGGGCCGCCAGGGAGGGAGGGTGGCAGGGATGGGGTCCAGCAGGGCGGCTTCCACTGTGCTCCCGGATTCGGGGAGGCCCAGGGACAAGGGGCTGGTCAGGATAGCAGGACGGGAGCCCTCCGGGTCCTCCCAGCATGAAAGGAGGACCTGGGGTCTGACCCTCTGAGGCCCCTTCAGCTCTAATCCAGAGGGGTGTCTGTAGGGCTGAGCCATGATGGAGAAAGTGTGGTGGCTGCGGCGTGGCTGTCCTTGGGCCCCATAGTGCTCAGTGGGAGGAGCTGGGTGACGGGCAGAGCTGGGCAGAGCAGCAGGGCCCGTTTCCGGGTCTGGGGCAGGGATCTAGTTGGCATCCCTCACATCCTGATCTCTCCCTCTGGCATCCATGTGCCCCACCCTCTCACTGGACCAGGTCGTCTCCATGTCCAAATGTGAAACACGGGGATGAGTGGGGAGACCCAGGCAAGTGCGAGAATGGAGACGCCTGCCAGTACTGCCACACCCGCACGGAGCAGCAGTTCCACCCGGAGGTGGGCCTGGGGCGGGGCCGGGCCTCTCCGGGCGGGTGGCCTCACACAGCCTCCTGGGGAAGCAAGGCAGAGCCCACCGTGACTCCATCCTGGAAGAGGGAATAGAGCCACAGGCTCCCCGACCAGCAGTGCCTAAAGGGGCCCTGCCCCTTCATTCAGCGACTTCCCTTGTTCTGAGCCCCGCTCACCAAGCAGCCCTCTGCTCCCAGGCTGTTCCTCCCAGGCCTGGCAGAGAGAGCACAGCGCCCTGGCCATGATGGGTTTTGCACCATGAGTGGTGCTTACAATCCAGGTAAAAAATAAAGCCCTGGACAGTTGTGTTCCAGACCAGAGCCTGTGAGTCTGCGTACCAGCAGCCTCCCAGGCATAGCTCCCCGGCCCCTGGCCCATGGCCTGGCCTGGAGCCATATCAATGTGCGAGGTCTTGTGTAGGTATGTCGAGGCACATGCTGTCCCTTCCCCTGGTTCCGTGGAGCCCAGCACACCCTGAGACAGAGACACAGACAGACCACCTTATGGGCCACAGGCAGCAGGGTGGGAAGTCAGGCCCAGCATAGGTCCCAACCCAGGGTGCCCTGGGCAAGCAGGTGCTACCTGCGATCTTGGCTCTCTCAGTGCCCAGGGGCACATTCAGGGGCACAAACCAGCCCTGGCCAAGACCCTGAGTGGTGAGCAGCAAGGGAAGAGCCCTGTGAGGGTGGGTCAGGGCTGGTTTGATCCCAGGAGGGAGGATGCCCTCGGCATGGGATGGCAGTGTCTGCTTCAGGAGTTTGAGTAGGAAGCTGGCAGGGAGACACCTGGGGAAGCGGAACGGGAAGGAGAAGGAGATGGCCGTCTAACCGCCATGCCAGGGGCACCCGCCTGCGTCTGCCAAGCCTGACCGCCTGCCTGCGCTGTCCCTGCAGATCTATAAGTCCACCAAGTGCAACGACATGCAGCAGGCGGGCAGCTGTCCCCGTGGACCTTTCTGCGCCTTCGCCCACGTAGAACGTAAGCTGCTCCCTTTGTCCTGAGGCAGTGTCCTCGCCCCATGCCCCTCCTCCTCCTGCGCAGGCTCAGGCAGGGTGACACCCTCCAGGCAGGTCCCAGCAGTCACCCCGTGCCACGTGCGTGGCAGACATCACTAGCTGAGCGTGGCTCTCTGCCCTGCTGAGCCCTCCCTGCTGAGAGCAGGGCTGTCCCTCAAAATGCCACGCTGCTCCCTTAGGTCCGATTCGTGGCTCAGGCTCTAGAGTCCTACAGTCGGGGCGCAAGTCCCCGCTCTTAGGTTCCCTAGTTCTGTCACCTTGGTCGTCTTACCTTGCCTCCCTGAGCCTCAGTTTCCTTATCTATAAAATGGAGACTGTGGTCTTGTCTTCATTGCAAAGACTCGCCGTTAATACAACTTGCACACGATATTGGTAGAGATAAGGTGGATGCCTTCCCTTTAGGTGCAGGGATGCAGGGCCCTGGGAAGGAGACCCAGGTGCTGTCTGGCCCAGAGCCTGCCGACACCGCCCCGTGTCTTGCAGAGCCGCCCCTCAGTGACGAGCTGCAGCCTTCCTCCGCTGTGTCCAGCCCCACGCAGCCGGGGCCCGTCCTGTACATGCCATCTGCTGCCGGAGACTCGGTGCCCGTGAGCCCCTCCAGCCCACATGCCCCTGACCTCAGCACTGTACGTGCCTGTCCAGGGGATGGGTGGGCACCTGCCTCTCATGTCCCTCACCCCTCTCAGCCTGGGCTTGGGGAGGAGGCCTTGGGCTTCTCCCCCCTTTTTTTAATGTATATTTTTATTGATTTCAGAGAGGAAGGGAAAGGGAGAGAGAAATAGAAACATCAATGATGAGAGAGAACCATTGATCGGCTGCCTCCTGCACGCCCCCCACTGGGGATCGAGCCCACACCCCAGGCCTGTGCCCTGACGGGGAATCGAACCGTGACCTCCTGGTTCAGAGGTTGAGGCTCAACCCCTGAGCCACGCCAGGGCTGGGCTTCTTCCCTTTCTGCCCCAGGGTTATTTTCTCTGTCAGAAGTGGGTGGTGGGTGGGGCTTAGTGTCCCCAGAGCCTGCATTAGTCAGCCCAGGTAGTGCTGGTAGAGGGGACAAAGCCTTCTGTCACTGCCCCCCCCATACACACACAGTTCCCGCATGAGGTCTGGGTCTCCTGGGTGGGCTGCTGCCCATTGGCCGGTGGAGGGCAGGCCGTGCCCTGGCCTGCATTTTGCCCACCAGCCCTCTCCCTTCCTTCCCGCAGCTCCTCTGTAGAAACAGCAGCCTGGGCAGCCCGTCTAACCTCTGCGGCTCCCCCCCGGGCTCCGTGAGGAAACCCCCAAACCTGGAGGGCATTGTCTTCCCTGGGGAGTCCGGCCTGGCCCCTGGCAGCTATAAGAAGGCTCCTGGCTTCGAGAGGGAAGACCAGGTGGGAGCCGAGTTCCTGAAAAATTTTAAATGCCAGGTAAGGGGTGAGGAGCAGCCGGGTGAGGTTAGCCTTCTGCTCCATGGAGCAGCTTGACCCGCAGCTAGGAAGCCCCCTCCTCAGCCTCCAAGACTGAGCAGAGTGAGGAAGACCGGCCCTTTTTACAGATGAAGATGGGGAGGCTAGAGAAGCTGAGCACCCCACCCGGTGTCACAGAACTTTAATGGGGGGGACCCCACAGCCGGCCTTTCCCCTGCCCTGTGCTGCCTGATGGGGCCATCCCTCACTGGGCTTCTCTGACGCTAGGAGTCGCCGGGAAGAGAGGCACAGCCCCTTGGTTCCTGGGCGAGGGAAGGAGTAGGCATGAGAGGGAGAGCCAGGGGCATGCGCATGAAGGGGGAGTGCAGGTGGCTGTCCCTGCAGCCTCAGTGAGCCATGGCAGGTGGGTGATGCTTGGGAGGACTCCTGGGCTCAGAGGCCTCCACAGCACCACATTCATCTCCTGCTCTCTGACCTTCCTCAGGCCAAGTTAAAACCCCACTCCCTAGAGCCCAGGAGTCAAGAGCAGCCTCTGCTTCAGCCCAAACAGGTACCAAACTCTCAGCCCCCGTCTGGCACCTGCTGTGGCCAGGCCAGGCCCACAGCCCCAGGAGGCTACAGAGAGCGGGGGGCATGCTTTCCCCCCAAGTTGAGGGCAGGATTAAGGTGGGGCACCAGCCCCAATCCAGACAGGGTGGGTCAGGCCCTAGAGCCCCTCACCTCCTAGTCACTCATCAGTCAGTCAAAAGTACTTATTGAGTGTCTACACTGCCAGGCACTGGACTCACTTCTCCCTTCCCCTATGCAAGAATGTAGGGGTGAGTGGCCCTGTAACCTCCAACCTTCCAACTGGTGTTGAGTGGGTGGGGCCCCATCTGGGCATGGGGGCAACCAGACTAGGGCTGATGCCCCATTTCCTTCTGCCCCACCCAGCGCCTGGCCGGGGCCTCCTGGGCGGGCATCTCATTGCCTCTCCTTACTCTCTCGTTGCAGGACATGCTGGGCATCCTCCCCGTGGGCAGCCCCCTGACCTCAAGCATCTCTTCTAGTATCACCTCCAGCCTGGCAGCTACTCCCCCTAGCCCCGCGGGCACCAGCAGCATCCCTGGCATGAATGCAAACGCTCTGCCCTTCTACCCCACCAGTGACACGGTAGAGTCGGTCATAGGTAATTAGGCCATTTCTGTTGCCAAGTCCAGGCCTGGATCTGGACTCAGAGGCACGAGGTCTCTGGAGTGAGACTTGGGCTTTAGACATGTGACTGGGGTCGGAGGGCAAGCACTCTGGCCTTTGAGCTAAAGAGGAGATGAGCCCTAACCGGTTTGGCTCAGTGGATAGAGCATTGGCCTGCGGACTGAAGGGTCCTGGGTTCGATTCCGGTCAACGGCATGTGCCTTGGTTGCGGGCACATACCCAGTAGGGGGTGTGCAGGAGGCGGCTGATGGATGTTTCTCTCCCATCGATGTTTCTAACTCTCTATCCCTCTCCCTTCCTCTCTGTAAAAAATCAATAAAATATACTTAAATAAAAGAGGAGATGGACCCAAGGTGTAGGGCCAGGGCCAGCTCTTGGAGCACAGCCGCCTCTTCCCTGGGCGAGTGTGGCCTCCTTCCACGACAGGTGTCCTGCCGCGCCCACTCCCTCGCAGCTGGGTTTCCTTGTGCAGTGAACAGGCTGCACGGCGTCCTCGGGGTCCCTGGCCATCGAAGCTACGGCTCTTCCCCTTCAGCATCACTGATGGGCACCACTTTGTGCCAGGCCCTAGTGTAGAGACGGGGGTTCCAGACCCGAAGACATCAAGGAGGGACACTGCTCACCCTCCTGGGCCGGTCAGCAGAGGGGAGAGCACATTTGTCGAGCACCTCCTATGCTTTAGCCACTGAAGGCCCAGAGACGAACCTGCCCTCCATAGCTCAGAGATGAGATGTGTGAACCCTAACATCAGGAGGCAGGAACCGACCCCCCCAGGGGGTCCAGGAAGGCTTCAGAAAGGAGACCATGGAGCTGGACTTGCTAGGCAGACAGCATCGTGTGACAGGAGCAGCCCAGCCCCAGGCAGAGGCTCAAGAGAGGACGGTCCAGTGGGACTGGAGCGTGAAGATGAGGCGGGGGCAGGAGATGAGGTGGTAAAGGGCAGGTGGGTTCAAGCGGCGAGGCCTGGAGCTTGGGGATTGTGTGCCCAGGGAGACTAGGAGGTTCAGACCCTGATCGCTCTGCTCCTAGAGTCTGCCCTGGATGACCTGGACCTCAACGAGTTTGGGGTGGCCGCCCTGGAGAAGACTTTCGATAGCAGCACCGTGCCCCACCCGGGCATCACCACCATCGGTACTGGGCTGCGGTGGGCAGGGTGGCGGGAGGGCTCCGGGGGTCCGTCTGGCCCAGGGTGGGTGGATGGAGCAGTGCCCTACTTGGCATGGCCCCGCATGGCTTTCCTCCCTCACCCGGCCCCTCCCGGCCTCTCTTGCAGGCGGCAGCTTGCTGCAGAGTTCTGCGCCGGTGAACATCCCGGGCTCCTTGGGCAGCTCCGCCTCCTTCCACTCAGCATCCCCGTCCCCTCCCGTCAGCCTCTCTTCACATTTCCTGCAGCAGCCCCAGGGCCCCCTGAGCCAGTCAGAAAACACATTTCTGGGGACCTCAGCATCACATGGATCTTTGGGTAAGAAGTGGCTCACTGAGACCTGGGAAGGAACTGGGCTTTTGGAAAGTGCCTTTGGCCTCTTTGTCCGGGGCTGGAGACTGCAGAGGGGAGGTTAGAGAGGGGCTCTGGGCTGGGAGGTGAGTCAGGCTCCTGTCCCATGTCTCCCTTAGCTGTGTGATCCTGGACAGGTGACGCAGTATCTCGGCCTTCGTTTCTCCTGCTGTAAAATGGCTATAGTGGCAGCACCCACCTCATATGGTGGCTGTGAGGCACAGGCCAGTGCGCACTGAGAAGCAGCTCAGAGCCGCCAGGGCCTGGTCTGCTCCTCATGTCAGTGTGGCGGTTCTGCCCAGGCGCCCGGGGCTCCGGAGGCAGGCTCACAGCAGCCGGTCACAGCCGCCTGTCCCAGGAGGCCAAGGGAGAGGTCTGACCGGCTCAGGCCTGGCTCAGCGTGGCCTTCCTGGCAGGAAGAGGCACCAGGGAGACCCTGCTCCAGGCCCAAAGGCCTTTGGCTGGACTGGGGGTTCTGGAGGGCAGGGCCAGGCATAGTGGTTGGAGGTGCGTGCAGACCTGCGGGTCCGCTACCTGCCACGTGTAGGAACGCGAACGTTCACCGAGGTAACAGCCAAGCCAGTGACAAGCAGAGACCAACCTGCTGCCTCTCCATGATCAGCAGCTGCTACTTCCCCACCCCCCACAGCTCCTCGGGCTCAGAAACCCCTCCCCGGAGGGTGCTGGCACCTGCGCACCCGGCCCCGGGCTCTGGCCGGGTTTGGGACCTTCCCTCATCTCACTGCAGAGGTCAGGGCGGCGCAGTGATTTCTTAGCACCCTTTCCGTTTGTTTGTTTGATTTTTCAGTTAGTTTACTTTCAATGTTACTTTGTACTGGTTTCAGGGCTACAGCATAGCGGCTGACAGTCAGATCCTTTACAGGGGCCCCCGTTTCCCGCCGGCACCGTGCAGTGATTACGGTCTCACTGACCACATGCCCTGCGCTGTGCTTTGCCTCCCCGAGCACCTGCAGTTAGAAGGTGTCTGTTCTGTGTTGACACTTCAGCCTATTTGTCTGACTTGTCCCCTGTTCTGAAGGCCAGCAGCTCTGCACACTGGCCACACATCCCTTCCTTCCCCAGGCGGTCATTGAGCAGTTTCATAGGTACAGTGTGAGCTGCACTGTCCCTGCCCGCCTGGCGCGTGGCCCTGGGGGAGGCAGGGGACAGACGTGAGGTCATACTTAGAGCAGTTGTGCGGAGTCAGAGGACTTGGGCTGGGATTCAGAGTAAGAGAGGAACCTCACCTAGAGGTCAAGAGGGCCCTCTGGGGGAGGAAGTGGGGAGGGGCAAGGGTATAGGGGAGATGAATGGTGATGGAAAAAATTAAATAAATAAAAAATTTAAAAAGAGGGCCCTCTGAGGAGTGGCTGCTCTCCGAGAGAGCCAGTGCGCCGAGCGTGGGGCGAGGCGGGGCAGCGCCTGCTGCTGGATGTGTGTCGCTGCAGTGATCTGGTCCCCGCCTTGGGCAGGCAGGTGGGCTCTGAGGCAGTTCACATGGCGGGGTCTCCACACAGGACACGCTGTCACGTTGCGGGTGCACTGGTGTTGCTTGGAGGACACTGTCTTAAATCCATATGGTTCCAAAAAATCCTGGCTGGATTAGTGGGAAAGGAGGCAAGAAAGGGGTCCCTAGAACAATGGGGGCAGGATGAGGCCAGAGGTGGCTGTGGGTCCTGCTCTGGGGGCTAGGGCTGCCCCGAGGGCCCCGAGCAGGGCACACAGTGTCAGCCAATGTCTGGGGGACAGGTGAGTGGGCGAGGAGCGTGAGTGGGTGCGGAGCGTGAGTGGGTGAGGAGCGTGAGTGGGCCGCCTGGCAGACGGGAAAGGAGGCCATGGGAGTCGAGCAGCCTGTGTCCTGGCCTCCACTTACTGCCATAAAGCGGGGGTGGCCGCGGGCTCTGGCTCTTCCTGCTCGGCCGCTCTGCTGTCATCGGAGGCCTGGCCTGTCTTTTCCCCTGACGCCCCTCCCAGCCCTCACCCTGGCCCATGAAGGCTCCCTCCGTGCAGTCTGAGTCGCCACCGCAAATGAGCACCTCACAGGCTGCTCTCCGCGCAGCGCTCCCCAGGCCGTCACCCCATCCTGCAGATGAGGATGTTGAGACTCACAATTTAAGTGGCAGCTGATAAGTAGCAGTTGGCATCACAGTAGGTCTAACTCTGCAGCACCTACAGGTCCCCACCAGACTCCCCGGCCTGGCACTGGCAGAGCCTGGCACCGAGGCCCCTGGGAGCCCTGGCAGGGCCGGGTGGGCCTCCAGAGCGCTGAACTTCCTCCCCTCCCTGGGGCAGGTCTGAACGGCATGAACAGCAGCATCTGGGAGCACTTTGCCTCTGGAAGCTTCTCCCCGGGTACATCCCCTGCCTTCCTGTCAGGACCCGGGGCTGCCGAGCTGGCCCGGCTTCGGCAGGAGCTCGAGGAAGCGAACAGTACCATCAAGCAGTGGGAGGAATCCTGGAAGCAGGCCAAGCAGGTACGGGCCCCCACGCCCACCCTCCCCAAGGCCTGGTGGCATCCAGCTTGTGTCCCTCACACAGGGCACAGGGGGTGGGAAGCCGGGGTCCCCGGAGGACAGAGCAGAAACTTGGTTTTGTTCTCCTTCCCCCAGGCAGGAGCCTGGGTGGCTGGTGCCCCAGACCTGGATCTCTGAGCTGTTCACGTGGTCTGGTCCCAGCACCACTTGGGCTCTCCTAAGAAGCCCTGGCTCCAGGGCTCACGTCCAGGTTCTAGGTTCTGAGATGGGCCCTCTGTCCAGGGGCAGCTATTCCGGGCCCAGCCCCCTTCCCTGCCCACAGAGGGTCTCCTACAGGTCCTGAACCTCCCTTCTCTGCAGGCAGTGTCAGCTTCCTCCCTGCCCCCTCCCCAGACAGCTGACCCAGCTCCCCAGCAGGCCCCGCAGCCACAGTGGCTCATACAGGCTCCCAGCGCTCCGCTCCCAGGGGACGGGGGCAGGGGCCACCGTGACCAGGTGCTGCGTGTTTGGCCCACAGGCTTGTGATGCCTGGAAGAAGGAGGCAGAGGAGGCTGGTGAGCGGGCCAGTGCGGCGGGCGCCGAGTGTGAGTTGGCCCGGGAGCAGCGGGACGCGTTGGAGGTGCAGGTGCAGAAGCTGCGGGAGGAGCTAGAGCGGCTACACTCAGGGCCCGACCCGCAGGCCCTGCCCGCCTTCTCCGACCTGGAGGCCCTCTCGCTCTCCACCCTCTACTCCCTCCAAAAGCAGCTGCGGGCCCGCCTAGAGCAAGTGGACAAGGTCAGCCTAGGAGGTCAGGGAACACTGGGTGGGGGTATCTGAGGCCACAGCCAGTGTTTGGACGCTGGGGGGTCCTCACTGCTCCGGGGATGCCATCCTGCTGGAGGGGAGCTAGGAAGGGAATGCCACTCACTGGGGAGGGAGGAAGCAGGAGGTGGGTCCGCGCCCACCCCAGCACTTTTGAGGGCAGGCGCTGACCTAAGTCACATCCTGATGGCTTCTCTGAGCTCTGCGCGAACCAGCAGACGTTCCAGAATGGGGAGGTCCCCAGGGGCACCCTGGCTGCATCCTGCGGAGCACAGGGGATGGGGGAGGCTGGGGGTCCTGGAGAACAGCAGACACTCACAGGAGGCCATGCACCCTCAGGGCTGTCTGCCCTCTCCAGGCGCCATTGTCCTCGTTTGGGGACCTAGGGTCACTGCAAGATCAGTGCGAGGAAAAGCCCGCGGGAGCCCGCGGGATGAGGCCACAGAGCAGCCTGGCCCTCCCCTGGCTCCGACTCCCCCACTCAGCCCCCAGCCAAAGCGGAAATCTGGAGTCTTGAGATGATGTGATCGGCCTGACCCCGACGTGTCCGCCAGGGCCTGCACACATGCCTCCTGAGCACTGTGCCTCCGTTTACTGGCCCAAGGCCCGGCCGGTGACCGTGTCCCTGTCCCCGCAGGCCGTGTTCCACATGCAGTCGGTGAAATGCCTTAAGTGTCAGGAGCAGAACCGCGCGGTGCTGCCGTGCCAACATGCCGTGCTGTGCGAGCTGTGCGCCCAGGGCAGCGAGTGCCCCGTCTGCCAGCCGGGCCGGGCCCACGCCCTCCAGTCGTGACCCTGCAGGCCCGGCCCCGGCCTGGCTCACATCTTCCCACCTAGGACTTTTTAAAGTATATATATATATGTATGTATGTATGTATGTATATGTATATGATTATGTATATGTATACATCTCCGTGCGTGTGCAGGTATGCGTGGGCGAACAGTGTGACAGTGTCTGTGTGTATATCTGTGTGTAGATATAGACACACACTTTAAAACAGACTTACCAAGCACTTTTTAAAAGAAGAACTATTTTGCAGTCCTCCCCTGCCCACTCCCACCTCCCCCTCCCCCTTCTCCCACCGCCTTCCGGCAGGGAGTCCCGTTGTCTCTTTTATATGCAGGACTAACTATTTTTAACTTTTCCTGGGGCCTGAGCAGGGGAGGTGGGAAGCTAGAAGGGGCCGAGGGGAGAGGAGAGGCCTTCAGGGCAGGCCCTGGTCGTCCCCCCTTCCTAGGCCAGGGCCAGGGGCTTGGAGGCCCAGGCAGACCTGCTTCCAGCTGTGAGGCCTGAGGGGAGTGCTGGGGTCCAGGCCAGCCTGGCTCCTGGGTTTACCAAATGCATATTTAGTTCGGGGCTGGCAGGCCCAAGTAGCCCCGCTCCCAACCCCAGGCCCTTGAAGCCCTCAAGGGTCAAGGCCTGGGAGTTGGACCCCTCAGGTTCCTGAGGCAGTGGGTCTGCCTCAGCCCTCCCCCGTCCAGAGCAGCCTCCCTGGCCCCAGGGCCACCTACCAGGCTGGCACTGCCCTCTCCATCACCCCCTGCTGCCTTCAGCTGTCCCCCCTGATGGCTGCGGACTGAGGACCAGGGGGCTCAGGCCCTGCCCCCCCCTCCGCCAGGAGGGGCTCCGAATGCATTCCTTGGTGCTCTCTGAGTGCAGCTGCCGTCCTGCCGCTTTGGCCGGACGCCGTGTGCATGTGTGTGCGTGCCTGTCCGATGTATAGTGTGTCTTAGCTTCCATTTTAAAATTGTTCTGTACAGACAGATGCAGCGGGTGGAGGGCGGAGTGGCGTAGGGCAGCCACCGCTGCCGGCGCTGGGTGTCTGGGGTGGGAGCAAGAGCGCTGCAAGGCTCGGGCCCCAGCCCCCCTTGTGCTCAGCACGAAAGGGCTTTCAATGAATTAAGTGAAAACTTTCTTTTTTTACAAAAATGCAAAAATCAACAAAGCTCCAAACTTATTGGGAATAAAATATGAACTTGCAATGGTAGCTTGTTTGCATGGGGTGAGGGCAGTGCGGCCCCAGCTGAGGGCCCCTGGATGAGGGGGTGGGCCAGCTCAGCTGTGCCTGTCAGGGCCCTGGCCCCCACCTGGGCTGGGAGCTCTGCCCCGGCTGAGGAAACAGCTTGTATCCCCCTATTCCCCCCCCCCCCCCCCCAGCTGAGGCTGGGCGCCTGCAGAGGCCCAAGGGCTCCCTGGGCTCATGTTCTCTGAGCCAGGCCTCTGTGGTTGCTGTGGGGACCCTGAGCCCCAGACAGAGACCTCCTGGCCCTACGACTCTCCTCTTTAGGGCTCAATGGACAGCTGCCACTGGTTTATTTGTTTTCCACAGGACGCAGGGCCCTAGTGGGTTCTCGGAGGAAACCAGGGCTTCTCATAAAAACATGAAGAGAAAGGCAGGCCCAGAGATGTCCCGTCCTCCACCCTGCCCCCTGAGGGCCCAGTCCCAGCCTCTGAGCCACTGCCTCCCTCCCCTGCTCTCAGCTGGCCTAGTAGGTGGGTGTGAGAAAACACAGCTGAGGGGCTCCTCTCTGTGTGGCCTCAGAAGTTCAAAGCTGAAGAGGGCTGTGGAGCCATCTCAGACTTCCCACATGTCACCCTTGTGCAGGCTCACAGAGGGTAAGGGACTTGACCCTGGTCACGCAGCTAGAATGACAACTGGGCCCCAGGTGCTGCCTCCCAGCACATAGGCCACTGCCCCCGACAGGGCTTGGACCCGCTCCTCTAAGCCCTGCTGTGCAGAGCAGCCGCTCAGCCCCAGCCTGTGCCCTGGGAGGCTCCCCGCTCTCGGTGCTCCCCCTGGAGTTCCCGGCCCCTGTGCGGGGCAGGACCACAGAAATGGGTGTGCCTGGTAGTGTTCTGTTCAAAGCTCTTGGCCCAAATATCAGTGATACCAGTTGCCCCGCATCTGCTTCTGCATCAGTTACCCCACACTCCCTGCCTGTGACGGGGGGGGGGGGGGGGGGCAAGCCTGGGGTGGGGGCAGCCCAAGGTGTCCTGCAGGCTGGGCGGGGGTTTGTATGACCTGACACCCGGGCCCCACTGTAGGCCAACAGCAAGTTTTCTGAGGACGATGGATTGCGATTTTTTTATTTTTGCTAAGAACATTTTTAGGTGCTGGTACTGGCTCGGGGAGATGTCCTCAGTAGATATGGTTAGCCAAGCTGTCCTTTCGGCTTCCGCCCTCCATGCCAGCCCCCTGCCTGCCAGCTCTCTCCTGGCAGAGCCGGGTCCCTGGCTCCAGGCTCCTTAGCTTGGGTGTTGGCAGCCCCGTCAGGAGAGGACCTGGCCTCCTTCATTATGGCTACCCGCCCCCAGGGCACTTGTGCCCACAGTCCTAGCCCCAATGAGTCTGAGTGGGGGTGCTGAAGAGGCCCAAGGGAGCCTACCCCCCCACACACAGTGGCTGGAATAGGTTTCGGGAGACAGATGGCTGAGCCCCTGCTTTGCCAGCACTTCCCAGAGGAGAGGGGCAGGAGATGCACAGCCGCCTCCCCTCCCCTGGTGCTGGGATTTGGCAGAGAATGCTGAGGCAGGGCGGCGGGGGCGGGGGCGGGGGGGCGGTATAAATACTGCTGGTGGTGTCCCCAGCACCGTGGGCCCCACTCTGGCAGAAGACCAGAGGGGTCTGCACTTGGCCTTCCAGCCTGGCAGAGCCCTTCTGAGTGTTAGGCCAGGCCGGAGGGCTGCACTGTGGTGGGGACAACCAGACCTCCCAGGAAAGGTTGTCCCTACCAGGGGCCCAACCTCCACGGCTATCTCCCAGGCTGTGGGGCATGCTGGGAGGCCTGCTTGGCTCGCTGCCGCCGCAGCTTCACAAACGCCTGGGCCTCACGATCCCCCTTCCTGCTCTCCAGCAGCCGCAGGACTGGGTCCCCTGTGAAGAGAGGCGTTTGGGGGTTAGGTTCGGGGCGGGGGGGCAGTGCCTGGGTAGTGCAGGGGACAGCAGGCGACTGTTACCTTCTAATATGAGGACCTCAGGCTAGCTAACCTCTTTGTGCCTCCGTTGTCTATAAAATAGCAATAATAGTATCTGCCTCATTGGGTGGTGGTACGGATTGAAAAAGTTAATAGTATATGTCAGGAAGTAGAACTGGCCTATACATGCACAAACGCGACCCCCTGTTAGCAAGATGGGCCCTCCCCAGGTAAATATGGTGACCTTCCCCCACCAGAGACAGTCCCTACACTTGGCCTGGCGTCAGTTACGCTGGCTTCTTGATTGACCCAGAGGTCTCAGCAACATCAGCCACCATGCTGGCTCCAATGGCTTCACCCGGGGGGCCTCAGTCTGAGCCTTGACAGGCTGCCCCTCCCCTGCACCCCCAGCGCTGGGCTCAGGCCTACCGTTGGGCGTGGGGTAGGTGAGGGGCAGGCGCGTCTGCGGCACCTCCCCAGGCTCCTCAGTCCCGTGCAGGCCGTGCACCGAGCGCAGAGGCAGGAAGGCCTCCCCTTCCAGGTCGTCGGCCCCCAGCGTGTCGTGGTCCAGCACCGTGAGCAGGAGGCACGCCCCGTCCTTCTGGCACGGCTCAGCAGGCACCAGGCTGGGTGGGGGGCAGAGCGGGGCTCGGCTGCCCACCCCACACACTGCCACTCCACCCACCCCCACTCACGGGCTCACCTCCTGGTCCTGAGGACAGGCCAGGACTGGGAGGGAGACACCCACACTGCGGGGAGGGAGGGATTGAAAAGGCCACAGGGTCTGATGCTGACTGGGCCGATGCTTTAAACCAGGGGGCGTGTCCCGGGGCGGGGCCGCTGGTGTTGGGCAACAGAGGACTTCAGGTCAGGACCCTTCCCTGGAAGTGACAGGGGGAGTCTCCCCCAGCAGCCTTGCCCCTCCCAGGGAGCAGGTTGGGGACTGATGCCAGCAAACCCTTGTCCCAGGTGCCCCTCCCACGGACCCAAACGAGGTCACCTCAGGGGAGCCCGTTGGGCCCAGTCAGCGCGAGCTGGTCCAGGGCTGGGGAAGCGCTGTGAGCGTGGGGCCCACTCACAATTCAAAGGTCTCATCGAACAGCGGGTGCAGGTCCTTCTTGTGCTTCTGGGTCTCCCGGGGAGCCAGCTCGGGGAATTCGTGCCTGGGCTCCAAGGTCAGTTGGACAAAAGGGTCGCTGGAGCCTGGCAAGTGGCGGGGGCGGGGGTGGGTGGCTACAATGGCCAAGGATACCCCAGCCCCCTGTCCAGCCTCCACTCCCTGCGGCTGTGCCCTGCTCGGCAGCACTGCCCCCTCCCGGCCATCCGGAGGAAGTGCACCCAGTGCTCCCGCTGGGCGAGCAGAGCCCCCGGCCCGGCGTGGCCAGCGGGCAGCCTGCGCTCACCGTTGGCGTCCAGGGGCAGCAGGTTGGAGGCGCTGAGCAGCTCCACGCGCAGCTTCTGCTCGGAGGCGCGGTAGGAAGCCTTGATGGTCACGGCCCCGAGCTCCTCGGTGGTGGTTTCGGCCTGGGGGGGGGGGGGGGGACGTGCGCGTCAGCGGGGGCGGGGCCGGGGCCGGGGCGGGGCGCCAGGGGGAGGGACCTCCCTCACCTGCTGCTCCAGGCGGCTGCTGAAGTACCTCCTGATGAGCTCGCGGCTGGAGGCCGCCTGCAGCTCCAAGTCCCTCTGCAGGTCCTGTGAACGGGGCCAGCCCAGAAGTCACCTGCACTGTCACCCTCCGCCTCGGCCCAGCGCTGCCCTCCCGGAGCTCGTAGCCCAGAGGGCGTTAATCTGACATGGAAAGCTCTGGGCGCCGGGACCACAGGCCGGGACACACCCTCAGGATTGCCTGGCAGAGGGGCAAGCCGCCCTAGCACCCCCTCCACATGCTCAGATCCTCATGCCTGGCTTAATGTTCTGCTGCTGCTGTTTCCTTTTTTTGGAAAATGAGGCCCACGGTTTTTTTGTTGTTTTGTTCATCTTCACCCCAGGAGATTTTCCCATTGATTTTTAGAGAGTGGAAGAAAGGGAGAGAGACAGAGAGGGGAAAACATCCATGTGAGAGAGACACATCGATTGGTTGCCTCCTGCACGCACCGTGACCCGGGTCCAGGGATTGCAACCGAGGTACATGCCCTTGACCGGAATCGAACCCAGGATCCTTCAGTCTGAGGCTCTACCCACTGAGCCACACCAGCCAGGGCTAAACGGGCCCACGTTTTCATTTGGTGCTAGGTACTGTGGCTACGTAGCTCTCCTGGACACGGGTGAGCACAGGGCTGGCTCCCCCCACCCCAGACCCACCAAAGGCCTGTACCTTGAAGGTGGCCGTGTGCAGGGCCTCGGGCGGCAGGCCACAGCCCTCAGCATAGAAGCAGATCTCCAGGTTCTAGAGGATGAACAGACACATCAGAGGTGACCCCGCGCACACACCAACAGGGATATCATTGCATCACTGGATTCTTACCTGCAGCGCAACCTTCAGCCTCCTAGAGGCAAGGGGGCAGCTCCGCTGGGCCGTGGCCACCTCCACTAGCACTGTGAGCGTGTGGGTCCAGAGCAGGGTCAAAAGGCTGGGTGAGGAGCCGCGGGATGCCAGACACAGGACAGAAAGATGAAGACGGGGAAGCAGAGATGCTTTTGAGAAAGGACCTCATGGGACCCAGGCCCATCCACAGCTCCTCCTCACCTCACCCCCCACCTTCTTCACAGGTGAGACTGGGGCCAGGGCCCAGGCAGGGAGCTAGGGAGTGAGGGCTGGCCTCCTGAGGGCATGGGGCGGGCAGTTGGGGGTTAGGGCAGCTGGACCCAATCTCATGCAGAAGCCTCCTCAGGATTATCAACCCCAACAAACAAGGGGTGGGGAGGCTGCTCCCCATGACTGATCGTGGGTCAAGATGGCAGTGGCCAAAACGAATAGGATTTCAGCCCGCCGCATGGAAAAGCATCTGCTTACTGTTGGGAGGAAAAAGTAGCAGCCAAGCCACAGGCCTAATAACCACCTGAACTCTCACGTGTCAAAGTGAAGCCAGGCGGTTAAGTACGAAAATGTGCAGTGGAGAGCGTGGAG